ACTAACTCTAACAATTAAAATTAATTTTCTTTTATTATGCAGCTATAAGCCTCATGTCTCAATAAGTAAGACTATTGACAACAGAAAGGATAAGATGAGAAATTGTATAGTTCAACACTCATCCACTACTAGAAAAATAATACCTGATAAATTATGAGTGATGCAGAAAAGCTGAACTTAAATTTCATTTCCTATTATAATTTTTTAAGTAAACATTTGTATTTATTGGGTATAAATGCCAAGATATTTATAGGGGCCTCTAAAAGCCCATACAATCTGGCTCCCCTGGAATTATAACCCATATCCTACATCTCTCCCCTTCAGTCATTCTGCTACCACACCGGCCTCTTTGTTCTTCAATCATGTCAGATGTGTTTCTGCCTCTAGATCTTTATTCTCTTTCCTCTGTCTGAAACATTCTTCTTCAAAGAATGCACGAGGCTTACATTCTCAGCTCCTTTGGTAAGATCTTGCTTTACTCATATTATCATGTCAGAGACCCTTTCTCTGACTTCCCTATCAAAAGTTGAACACGTCCCTCCCCAGGTACTAACTATACTGACTTTCTACTGACTTTATTCATTAGTTTGTTTCTGCATTTATTTATTTTTATTTTTAATTCATCCATCTGTCCATCCATGTGTTCATTCACATATACTCAGTTATTTACATTCTTGGACCATTGTTACTACAGATTTAAGGGTCATTTTTATATATTATGAGAAGCAAAGTTATATCAATATGGGTAAGGTAATGGAGAGTGCCTTGGCAAAATACAAATACAAAGTTAATGCTATTAACATTCAAAAAAGTAGTGGTTACTGAATATTTCAATAATATCAAAAAAATCTAGTCTCTGTTTCTTACTAAATTCAGAACACATCTGAATGAAAGCCATTGGCTACAAATGTTCATAGAATGGCTTCCAAATGTTCTATGATCAATCTCCGTGCAACATTTGAGCAATATTGTGTGAAAATGACTCATGTATTTTTTTTTCCGACATTTTGAGGTCCTGAGGTATGACCTTTTCACTCTATTCCAAAATTCCAAATAGTTATGCTTACCAGGGTCCAGGCTGAACATTTTTCAGAGTTGAAACAGGTAAAGTTAGAAGCTACAGACTTTTGCCTTTTGATTGTACTGTCTCAATGCAGAAGTCCTTGAAAGCACCTTTTAAATTTTATCAACCCACATACCAAAACTTGCTGTACTCCCTGGAAAATGGTCTGAAAATTCTTAACCCACAATGTCAACTTCACCAAACCTAGGACCAGCAACCCAGGCATGCAAGTATGGTATATTGTTTCCTATGCTATTCCTACATGGGATTGGCTTAGACAAATACATCCTACTACATAAATCTCAATATCTACATGGAGTTATGTGAATTATGTTGTGTAAAAACAGGCCACAATTTCAAAATTCAAAAACACTACTTTGATAATGATAAGACCACATTAGAAGACGCATATGCAAGTACAGCCTGACACCTCATCTAAACATTGTCTTGTAATCTGCAAACCAGAGGAGCCGCTTGACTTTCAGCAGATGAAAACACATGACACCTAGTTGTTGAGGGGAAATTGGACTTCATTGTTAGAAGTTAGTCATTTGGAAAATTGTACTGATAACACATCTTAAACAATATTTTGACTAAAAACAAAATTATAATTTTTGTTCATAAAAGTGTTTCAAAATCTATGAAGAGATTATAGTGTTGTGAAGATTTTCTTGGGGAGGGAGGAATAAAACTTAAGAATTTCTTCATAAGTTGCATTTTATGTTTAAGAATATGAACCCAGTCCAGAGTTTTGTTGATTATGGATGCAGATTTTATTTTCAGTGCGTGTAGATGTTTGTAGCCATCTTATATCCACACATATCTATAATTGTTTATTTGCATGTTCTGAGGGTACCACATAATTTTTGAACATGCCATGGAAAGTTATTTTTTTTCTCCCAGTCCAGCTGTTAGCTCACTTAGTGTCCTTCTCAGACATCCCACACATTATTTGATTGCTCTTGGAGACAGGTTGATAACACAGCCTGTGATCATGGACCCTTCTGCCCAGGGAATGCATGACACATTTGCTGTTGGAGAACTGTAGTTCACAAGCCCAAGCCTAACAGGTCTCCCTAAGCTTTTATGGTTCCACAAGAAAGCAGGAAATAAAGGGTGGTTGAATAGAACCTGGTGGTTTGTAGATCTCATTCCTGGTTTAGAGTAAATCAGTCACAGAAGATGCTGAAGGCAGCTGGTTTCTCAGTCTCATCTGAAAATCGTAGTTCTATCATAATATATTTTCTGTGGTAAGTTAAGGATCTGATTGAATCTATTTCCATTAGGTTTTTCCTTTAAGAAATTAAGTCAACATTCTGTCTTTCACCTTGAGGCTTTCTCTCATCAACAAATACGTAATTGAGCTTTGTTAGAAGCTATGAGCTTCTTCAGTGGCCTGCATTTTGCCTTGTATCCTAGTACTGGATATCCTACTAGAAATGTTGGCAGTTCTTTCCTAAAGGCATGTTAAAGCCTCAGTCCAGGAACATATGACCAAGGAGCAAGCCAAGAGCAAGGGCAGAGTCAACTGAATGGCACAAATCAGCAAATTTGGGGTGAGTCGACTTTTTCCTAGACCTTAGCCTTGCCACTAGCTCCACTGCATTCATTTCATAGATGCTGTTCGGATGGTCTTAATGTTTTCTCCAGGACTTTGTAAAACAATCTGCATGGGATTATCAAAATCTGTGATGATTTCCATTGGGAGGCACAAACATTCTGTCCTACGTTATTATCACTAAGATGATGTAGAAGTCATTGAAATTGTAGTTAGAAACAAATGTGGTATCCATTTGTAGATATAATTGTTAATGGGATTTAGTCTTGAGAAAATACTGTACAAAGGTTGAAGCAAATCCTTTATTACCTGGATTATTGTTTGAGAAATAATCTCTGCTTCTGCCTACAGAGATCAGAGACAGGCTAGACATGGATCGAAATTCCTATGCCTATAAGCGTAGGGCTGTAGCACAGGTAAACAACAGGTTAACTAATACTTCAATAAAACAAGTGTCATCTCAATTGCTTTCTCATATGTGTGAGCTCTAAATGATGATGTAGGGTACAACCACCAAAATCAGAAGAATCATTTTTGACAACAGTACTCCTGAAGAAATAGAAGAAATAGGATAGCCAGAGTAATAGCAAAGCGAGTGTTTTGTATTATACCTCATGTAGGGTTTTGTTTGCTTTTCAAGGAAATGGGATTAATAAAGAGCTAGAGAGATTTTATTCTGAGTCTAGTTAGAGCCCATGTCACATTCTTGATCAGTTTGAATATATTATAGCAACTGGGAAAATAATATAGTAATCTAAATCATAGGTACTCTGGATTTGTGTGGCAGGCAGAAATAAGACATAGGTCCGGAAGAAACGTATGCAAAATAGTAACAGGTTCTCTGTGAAATATCAGAAGATATGTTAAGCCAGATAAGATATCTGGAATCATTGAAAGAACTGTTCCTTCTAAAGTATCCATCTTAGAGCTCATGATATCTCTTTTCCTCCTCATCATCCTAGAAAGGAAATGAAAGTCGGCTATGTAGGAACTTGTTTGGTGGGCTTCTATCAAGCAGCGGGTTTATTTGTTGACATTAGGACTAGGTATAGGGTATGCTAGTGCCTGAGGTTTTATGAGGTTATTTCTGATATACTCTGCTTGATATCATCTTTGCTGGACAAGGAAGTAGAACTGAGAGTTTGAATATCAGCTTCTTTCCTGGTTTTACATTTGAAAGATTTGTTTTGCAGAAATATTCATATACATGTATTTTACATATGTATTATATATATAATACGAATGACTTTGGTATGCAACTAAAGATATTTTAAAATTATAAGTTATAAATTACAATTATAAATTATAAGTTATACATTATATTATAAATTAATATAATAATTATAAATTATAATAAACTTTTCCTGTAATTATTATAATAATTATAAATTATAATAAACTGTTACATTCTCATGAAACCCTATTCCCTGTTAAGCAACTAGGGTCATCCTTTTGATCCTAGATATGAATCTTCCCTGGCAAACCAGAGGCTTCTATACCACCTGCAAGGGTCTCATCATTAGCCATATATTATCTCAGGGTCCTCTACAGTGTCTCTTTTTATATTCACTTCCATAGAGGTAATGATGTCAATCACCAAAAAAAGAGAGTTCTCTGGGTTCTTTATTATAAGGGGGCTAATCTCATTCGTGAGGGCTACACCCATGTGACTTAATCACCTCCCAAATGTTCCACCTCCTAATACCGTCATCTTGGGGGTTAGGATTTCAACATATGAATTTTGTGGAGACATACATTTAGACAATAGCACTTATATTTTTGTGATCCCTCAGAAAATTAAAAATAGAATTACTCTATGATCTAGAAATTCCATGCCTGCATGTATACCTCCAAAGATGGAAAGCAGGATCCTAAAGAGATATTTGTATACCCTTTATCATAACATAATTATTCACAATAGCAAAAAGGTGAAAGCACCTCAAGTGTCTATAAGCAGGTGAATGGATAAACAAAATGTGGTATATACATACAAGGAAATTTTACCTAACCTTATAAAAGAAAGAAATTGTGACATAGCTACATCATAGATGGACTTTGAGGAAATTACCTATGTGAAATAAACCTGTCACAAAAACACAAATACTGTGTTATTTTATTCATATGAGATACATAGAGTAGTCACATTTATTAAAAACAAAAGTAGTAGGGTGGTTGCCAGGAATCCAGGAAAGGGAAGAATAGAAATTGTTGTTTAATAGGCACAGAGTTTCAGTTTTTCAAGATGAAAAGAGTTCTGGAGATTGTACAACAATGTGAATATACTTAACACTACTCAACTATGCACTTAAACAGAGCTAAGATGATAAATTTTACATGCGTTATGCCACAATTAAGAATGAAGTAAAATATAATACTCACATATTAATGTTGCATTTGATATGTTATATCTTCTTGGTAATCTTTAAAACAATTTCATTCACTTCTAGGGCACCAGTCCAGAGCAAGAGTTTCATCAAGAGTCATTTCTGTTTTGTTAGGTTTTGTTTTATTTTCTCTGAGATTCAGGTCTCCCCCTGTTCTATGTGTGGAACACTTTCTCTTGGCTGCCTGGCAAATCTTCAACAAGACCCCACACACTCTGACATCAAGGAGGGCATTGTCCCAGAGCTTTCTCCCAAGATACTCAAACCTCGTGGTTTGCAGGCGTGAGGTGGCCACCACCAACCTTTAGTCAATAGCCAGCAGACTCTGCATGGGCATCAGCCCTTGGACACAAAAGTGACTGAAAGGAGCTGTTAAATGCCCCAATTGAGCACCAGTGGGGTTTCTGAGAAGAAAGGGCAGCAGAGCACCAGGAGGAGAAGCCTAACGAACAAAATGCATTTGCTGATCCTGGGGGAACTTGTAGTTTCTATGCCCTTGATACTGTTACCAAGCTGAGCAAGAGGGAGAGGAAGCAGTGCTCAGCAAGTAAGTTCTTGACCAGGCCTTCTGTAGCCTGAGATTTGCCACAAGCTGTTTCAGCCCCAACTATTGCGAGCAGAATGAGCAAGCCAGAATTTTCACCTGGCCATCCAGTCCAGTAGTGACGAGGTGTGTTGAACAGTGTCTGCAGCTTGGGTCATTTCAGGTACCTGTGGATAGAAGACATCTCAGAGACTAGCCCAAACTTCTCACTTTACATATGAAGAAAACTGAGGACCAAATTCATAGATTTACAGTTCAGTGCTTACTTTACTTTGTTTGAAATAAGTTCTGTGTCCAAAAAGGTGGGGGTGATGTGGAGAGTATTAAAATAGTACTGAGCTCCAAAGGAAGAATTTCTAGTATGTTACTCTCTCCTATTCCCAATACTTCCCCTTTCTTCTTAATAGAAGGGAAAATTCATCATTTCCATGGTCTTCTTTTTCTCCCTTTCAAAATGGAGAAAGCCCACCCATATTTTACCTTTCTTCTCTCCCTTCAGTAAAAACAGTATGGTAAGTAAAGTACAATATTCTTCACTCGTCAAAGATAAAACCCAGGCATCTTTTTCCTCTTCTCTCCCCTCTAGAATCTACCCCAGCAGCCAGGCTGGAGAAGATGTCTAGGTGATCTCCCTTAATATTATCATGAACAAACTTTCTTTCTTGGTTTAGGTCTATGAGTATTACCTTTGTCCTAGTCCTTCCTTCACGTCATAAGGTAAGGTCTAAGTTTTAGGTTTGAATAGTCTCAGACAAATGCAGAATGTCAAGTCTCTCCTGTCTATAGCACTTCACTATTTAAAGCAAGCTACCTTAAAAATAAGTTTACTAGGTTGGGCATGGCACTACATGCCTGTAATCCCGGCATTTTGGGAAGATACACTGGGAAGATCACTTCAAGCCAGGAGTTTGAGATCAGCCTGGGCAACAAAGTGAGACCCCGTCTCTTTAAAAAAAAAAAAAAAGAAAAAAAATTAGCCAGGCATGCTGACACATGCCTGTTAGACCAGCTACTTGGGAGCTGAGGTAAGAGCATGGCTTGAGCCCAGGAGTTCAAGGCTGCACTGAGCTATGAGACTCCCACTGTATTCTAGCCCAGGTAACAGAACGAGACCCTGTCTCAAAAAAAAAAAAAAAAAAAAAAAAAAGGTTTACTAAATCTTCTAGTCTGGTTTATAAAATACTTTTCATTTTATATTTGATACCTAAGCCACTGCTTAAAAAATATTTTTTGGCCAGGCATGGTGGTTCGCTCCTATAATCTCAGCACTTTGGGAGGCTGAAGCAAATCGATGTCTTGAGCCCAGGTGTTCAAGAATCCCAGTCTCTCCAAATAAAAGTATCTAATTCAAGTATCTATTGGCGCGCGCACATGCGCGTGTGTGGGGTGTGTGTGTGTGTGAAGGTGCAAAGGGAAAAGCCACCTATCTTCATAGATTAATGTTACTTAGCATCCCTGGGAAAATAGTAACTCTGACTACAGAAAAAAGCAATCTCCAATTTAAAAAAGTTTTTTATGTAACTTCCAAGGTCAACGGTTAACTTATTTAATTTCAGATGGTAGCCAGAACTTCTTGAAATTTTAAAGGACTGCAAAGTGGTTAACCAGTGAAAAACTGTGATTAAATTCTTACTGTAAAGAGCCAGATCAAGACAAGTGAATATATTTCAAGGAAATGACTGCATTAAGGAATCAATATATAGTTGCAAGAACTTTTCAGTGAGTCTACCATCCACAGAGTAAAACATTTTCTACAACTATTATATCAATATGTGGCAAATAATATCTTAAGATTTATGCCCAAGTTGTTCCCACTTGAATATGCAGCCTGTTCTTTGAAATTATGCTTTAAAGTGATCATTTGTAAGTGTAAGAGTAACTGCAATTCTTGTGTCTTTCATTTCAAAATGTTAGAAGTCATTGGTGAGTACATGGGTAAAGATGAAAGAAATTAATGATTGCTAACTATATACTTCAGGTTTTAATTAACTTATTTATGTCAGTGATTTATAAATAGTTCTGTGGAACACAAAGCCTGAAAAATGTCTTAACAGAAAAATTAAATGTTCTGTGAAGCAACGAATTTTGGAAACACTGCATTACTGTAATGAGGAATATTAAAGAGATTTTGATTTGGAGATAGTAAAGGGATTTGGATTTGGGGATGTAATATAATATAACCAAATGGGGTTCATCCCAGGTAAGAGAATTTAATTTAATATTAAAATCTATTAGTAATAATGATTTTCTCAATGGGAAAAAGGAAATTTAATATAATTAAACACATATAATAAATATTCTTAACGTACTTGAAGCAGAAGAAAACCTCAATCTGATAAAGAGTTTCAACATAAAGGCATCAGATAGCATGTCTTCATGGTTAAATAAGTATTGAATAGTGTCCTCTGATTTTAGGAAGTAGACAAGGATATGTATGATCTCACTTTTTGTATCTGGCTTCTTTCATTTAGCATAATGCTTTTGAGATTCATCCACATTGTTTCATATATCAATAGTTCACCGCCTTTGTTGCTGAGTACTAGTTAATTGTGTGGATATAGCATAATAGATTATACATTCTATAATGTATAATGCTTATATTATTTATATTGTTGAGTGAACCATATAAATGTTTCCAGGTTTGAGTATTATTAATACAGCTGCTATATACATTTGCATTCAGTCTTTGTATACACATGCTTTGTTTCTTTTGGGTGGGGTGGAATTTCTGGGCAATAGAGTCTCTGTTTAACTTGACCAGAAACTGACAAACTCTGTTCCAAAATGACTGTATTATTTTTATTCTTTCTAAAATAAACATTTAATCCTATACATTTTCCACTAAACACTGCTCCAGCAGCATCCCACAAATTTTGATATGTTGTATTTTCATTTTATTTCTCTTGAAAATATTTTCCAATTTCTCATAGGATCTTCTCTGTGACCCATGGACTATTTGAAAATGTGTTGTTTAATTTCCAAGAGTTTGGAAATTTACCTGTCTTTCTATTGTTTATGTATAGTTTAATTCAGTTATGGTCAGTGTGTTAGTCTGTTTAGTGTGTCTATAACAGAATACCTGAGACTTGGTAGTTTGTTCTCTATACACATTTATTTAGCACAGGATTCTATAGGCTGGGAAACTCAAGAGCATAGGGCCACATGTTGGGTCAGAAACTGGCATGGGAAAAGAGGTCACTTGTCACAGGAGGAAGAGAGAGTCTAGGAAGTCCAACTTGCTTTTGTAACAGTTCACTCTCTGGTAACTAATCCAATCCTGAGGGAGCAAAATTTCACTCCCATAGGAGGGCATCAATCAACTCATGAAGGATCACCTCTGAGACTCAAACACCTCCCACTAGGCCCCAACTCCCACCACCACCACACTGAGAATCAAATTTCAGCATGAGTTAGGGTGGGAAAACCACAGCAATCAGAGAACATATTTTGTATAACATCAATTCTTTTATGTTGTTAAGATCTGTTTTATGAATCAGGATATCCTTATTTGGTGCGTGTTGGGTATACACTTGAAAATAATAAGTATTTTCCTGCTTGGATGGATAATTACATAAGTATCAATTAGAACCTGTTGATCGTTGGTGGCATTTGGTCCCTTTATATCTTTTCCAATATTCTGTCTACTAGTTTATCTATGACTGATAAATACATCCACAGATATAATTGTGGATTTTTTTACTTCTCCATTCAGTTCTTTCAGGTTTTCCTTCATGTTCAGAGGCTCTTTTGTTATATTCATGTACATGTAGGGTTGTTATGACTTCTTGGTGGATTTACCCTTTTATTGTTATGTAATGTCTCGATTCTGGTAATTTTCTTTGCTCTGAAATCTACTTTGTCTGATATTAATATAGCTATTCTAACTTTCTTTTGATTAGCATTTGTATGGGAAATATTTTTCCATCCCTTTAATTTTAATCTAACTCTATCATTGCATTTGGCATGAGTTTCTCATAGATAGCACTTGGCTGAATCCATTTTAAAAAAATCTATGTTGTCCATCTCACTTTTTTAGTTAGTATATTTAGATCATTTAGAGCCCACTGGTTTATAAATAACTTTATGGATTTGTATTCCTGAGCTCCTCCCTAAAGTCTTCCAGGTATTTTCCAATTCCCTAGTGCTTTCATTTTTTGTCCTCTGGTCAGAAAGCTGGAGCATTAGTTACTCTATGCTGCCATATACTACCCACAACCATGTCAACATTAGGGGTAGCAAAGATCATAGTAATTGAAGCTCCAGCTTTCTGGCCTATGCGAAGACAGAGAAAGAGAAAAAATATATATAACTGGAGTTTTCCGCACACTCTTGGGACCACAAATCCTCTGGTTAGAGAGGAAGATTTTCCTCCTTCAAAGTTTATATGCTCCTAGATAGATGTACAATCATTTTGGAGGTCAATATGCAATGCAGTGTCTAGCAAACTTGAAGATGGACAGCCCTGTAATCCTGTTCCTCATCATACACCCTAAAGAAACGTTTCAATGCGTATACAAGAGACAAAAACTGTTGACTACTTTATCATTTTATAGTAGCAAAATATGAAAATTAACCTAAATTTTCATCAACAGAGGAGTGAACAGTTTGCTCCCTCACTTTATTCATGTCTCTGACCTGAAAATGCAGCCTTTTTAGAAAGGCCTTTCCTGGCCACCATATTAAAAATAATTCAATCTTCTCCCTCAACCCCAATCTCCTTCAACCTCCTTATCCTATTTTATTGCTCCTAATAGTTCTCATTATGATATGACACTAGATTGCAT